CGAGCTATATGATTTGTTGATTTTTTAACAAAAGAGAAGGATAATGAAGTAAACTCTCTGACTAGGATTTTACAGTCATATTTATATGATTTGATTTAGTATATTTTTTAAAAAATAAAAACAAAATCAAATAGAATACAAATTATTAAACCTTTCAAATTTTTAAATTTTTACTTCCCTATATTTATTTTAAACAAAATGAACATGTGTGTAATTGGTGAATAATTTAAAATTTAATTTTAAAAATATATATAATATTTTATTGATATATTTATATATCTATTTATATTCAAACTTTTTTATTAAGTGAGTACTGAAAAGAGTTTTATTCATAATAATAATTTTTATTTTTCTTTTTCATTATTAAATAATTTGCAATTATTATCATTTTAATTTAGTAAGAGATGTATATCTCCTTTGCAATAAATAGACTCTTGATGATTTCTTGATATTTTTTTTTCTTATATTATAAATATGTTTGACTTGAAACAAAATAGTATTTAGGAAACTCAAAAAAAAAAAAAAATTTTTTTTCTTAATATTATAAAATTGTTTTGACTTGAAACAAAATAGTATTTAGAAACTCAAAAAAAAAAAAAACTATAATATATTTTTCTATTTTGGAATATTTTCTCTCTTAAAATTTTACATATTTGGGTGTGTCAATATGCAATATATTTAAACTATCGTCAATCTTATGCCTTATACAGAAACCAACCGCGGCAAACGTAAAAAAGAAATTTCCAAAAAAAAAAAAAAAAAAAAAAAGAAATGAAAAGAAAAGTGAAGCCCTCGGTTAAGTGATTAGAGAACCATCCTTTCCTAACTTTTTTTATATGCACATATTAGCCAATCCCTTCTGCCCTTTTTCAGGACACAAAAAGCCCACTGCTCTGCTGCACATATTTAATCTCTAGTTAATTTATTGTCATTCACATTTTTTAATCCATTCTTTTAGCAAAGCTTAAAGTAAGTTTTGTGGAGATCTCTAAAGATAATTTTATTTATTTTTCGTCCTAAATTTAATATTATGACATACTATTAAAAATGGTAATTTTTTTTGAATCAAACTTTTTGGTAGTAATATAATTTGATTTGTGCCTAAATAGAAATGTTTCGATTTAATATAGTACTAACTAGTTAGGGATGGTTAAGTGCTATTATTCATGCATTATTATTATTTTTTTTATGATGCTTGAATTCTTAAGCCTTTATTATTAAGTGATAAAAGGAGCAAAATAATAAACACTTTACATCAATACTTTAAAAGATTAAATGTATTTGTTTCGTTTTAAGAGCTCATTTAGGATTTTGAGACTATTAATTATTTTTTTCCAACTTTAACCCATATTTATTATGTGTAATTTATTTTTATATTTAAATTTAAGAAGCACAATTTGGACATTGTACCATGTTTTTTTTTTGGAAAATCAATGGATTTCAATCATTTTTTTAATCCTTGTAAAAAGAGAAAAAGTTGCTATTAAAATGAAATGGAAAGAATATATTTTACAAAAATAATATATAAATAAATATAAATAACGAGAATTCCTTTCAAAAACCAAATAAATTGTTATAATTAAATTTCGATAAACCTAGTCCATTTTTCATTAAATGAAATCTAGCTATATAAATGTATAATTTCCGAGGAAAAATATACACGGATCTTTGCCAGAATCCTTGATTTTGTTTCATTATTTGCAGCTCTCTCTTTCTCCAAAACCTCAAATGCTAAAAGCCAAATATACACGGCCACCAGTGAGCTCTCACCGGTGGTCACCCTTTTTTTTTTTTTTTTTTTTTTTTTTTTTTTTTTTTTTTGGTCCAAATGATTTTTTAGATCTGTATATCCCTTTTTTTTTTTTTTTTTTTTGTCCAAATGATTTTTAGATCTGTATATAGGTCTGAATTATTTTTGCTCATGTCTTGGGATTTATTATTGCTCATATCTTGTGATTTTGTTATCAGATCTAGTTATAAGTTATTGTTATAACCATTATGCTGATTTTGTCTAACATATTTTGTTATTTGGATAGTTATGCAGAAAGAAGTATAGATATCTTCTCTAATAAAAGGAAGAAATGTGAAAGTAATCAAATCGGACTTATAGAAAAATCATAGAGTCAAACAATACTCATAAATAACCACAAAGTAGAGCGAGCGATTATCTATGGTACAAATATTATGTTATGTCAACTCTATCGGATATTTAAAATTAAGATTTTTTTTTATTTTTATATAAGCGATTTATTATTAGACTTACTGTAAAAAAAGGAGAACAGCTGAAGTCTGTGGAAAGCGTGAAGGCTTCCAGTAGAAGAGCCAAAGCCTTGCAAAAGGAAGAAAAATAATTACCTAGAAAGCTCTAATACCAAGTTAAATAAGAAGGAATTTATATTTTCAAAAAAAAATAATAATAAGAAGGAATTTATATTGTACTGCTGTGTGATTTACATTATAAGACACCCTTTATATAGGTTTACAAGTTATGTACAAAAAGAAAAAAGGGATCATAAAGCATACATTATAATCAGATTCAAATATCCTAAGATCACCTAGGATTTTATTCTAACAACTTGCATACCCTTCTGCTCATTTTACCACTGCTGGAATTTTTTGGTTCCTCATAATCTGCCCTGATTCTTGTAATTGTCGGTCTTTTTGGTAGTTTCTTGAATTCTGGTGGCAAGGTTGGAAGCTCATTAACTGCAACCCACGTGTCTTCACCATTCAAGGGTGTTAGGCCATATTAGTATATTTTCATATAAACGTATTTGTATGATTAAGGGCTCATCTAGATACTGTAATGAATCATGCTTCATGTAATATGTACAGGAAATGGCATGATTGCATGGTACAACAGACAACTGTCATGTTCTATATGGCAATGCATCTCTTGCAGGGACACCACAAAATCTTTTTCATTAATTGTAACCGAAAACTTATTACCATCAGAAGGCTGTGGAACACAGGATGAAGTTTCAAATTTATTTGTTTCAATTCTTTTCCTTATTCCAGGCCCTATTCCATCTTTTCATTTCAGAAATTCTTTTTTGTTGAAGTAATTCCTTCTTGTTAATATTATCTTGACATTTTCTAACATCATGATCATTGGCTTTGCCTAGCATCAAAAATTTCTTGTTCAATTCTGCCTCATAGGTTTAAAAGAAATGTTCTCAAAATATTTTAAAATGTCTGAAATTAATAAAATAAAATAAATTATAAGACACATTTTCTAAAAGATCCAACACGCATTCGAGAGTGTTTAAGATGCATCCGTATCGGATACAATTATGTTGAACTATTTAAATTGTCTCTACAACATAATGCACCACTAATACAAGGAGTCGGAGATACGTAGAGGGTATGTAGTTTACAGGGCCAATGTCTCCATTGTGATTGAGAGATTGGAGTAGTCAAACCTATGTTTATATAACTCTCCTTTTAAGAGATTTCTTTTGGATTGTGATTCCAATCTCTTTCACTCCTTTCTGCCATCAAAAAAACATTTATGAAATATTTAATTGAATGAAGGAGAAAGAAAGGCTTACAATATAGAACAACAAATAAAAGCAGACCCATTTCAGCAATTGCGGCACTTTGTCTGTCTGTCTGTCTGTCTTACTCTTATTTATTTTATTTAATTTTGTTGGTTCAGTTGCTTCCTATCCAATTAATCTAATCAAAAATTCAAACCCACTCAAAGTCGGTTTTATAGTCAATGTTTCTTTCTATCTTCCCTCTCAGTCGCACTTTCTAATAAGCTCTGAATTTTGGAATCTATAAAAGAAATGCATTTCTAATTCATGCCATTGCAGTGCCAGCTCAGGATTCACCTCTTTCCTTTTTAATACTAATCTCGTTTCCCCATTATCACTTCTTTTTCAAAATGCTTTTATAATATAATAATATTATCAAAATTTTAATTCATAAAATAAGAAGCAAAATCACTAACCATTTGTTATATGTTCATGAATCAAATTTACTGTATATAAATCAGATCTAAGATATACTAAATCTTTCAGAAGTTCAGAACCATTCTTTATAATTCAACATATGAATTTTACTATGAATTTATTTCATCAGCTCTCGACTTTATTACTTTAATTTTATAATATTTTTATTATTTTAAAAGATATACTAACCATGCACCAAAATATTTTTCATATAAAAACTTAAAATCCTATAAACTGTTGTATTAATATGGAAATGTGTATAATGTATCGACATTTGTAATTTTAATGGCAAAAAGAGAGAGTAAAGCTAGGTATTTACACAAAAAGAGAAAAATCAGAAATTTGTGACCACATATTAGAATAGTGCATCTCCCCCTGGCACATAAAATTCTTTTGGTTGAGAGTTTTAGAGTCAGAGCCCACTATGCTTCAAAACAAAACAAGTAGGAATCCCAAGAACAAGAAGAATGCAATGAACCCACAGCACACATTTCTTTGACATCTCAACTAAAATCAGGAAACAAAATTTCCCTTTTTATGTAATTATTTTGAGTTCGATTTCAGAAACAGACTGTGGCTGGCTGCCAGATTGAAACAAAGTTAAGATCTTGGAAGCAAATAATGAAGATTTGAATGATTTGTATTTCTGTCCAATTCTCTATTTCTTCACTTTGACTTTTGATTTACAAGGAAGACAATAACATAAACAAAGAACATTAAAGAAAGGAAAAAACTTCCCTAATCAAAATCAAACGAATTTGATTCTCTTTATATTCCCTACAAAATTTTTCCTTTAGATTTACAGTCTCTATGTCCACTCTTTTTTTCTCTCTCCATTTCTTGCAGAAAAAGGAGTGAAAGAAAGGGGGGGGGGGGTTTCTCTCTCATTTCTTGCAGAAAAGGGAGTGAAAGGAAAGGGGGGGGGGGGGAAACAAACAAGAAAAAGAAAAAGTTAATCGGCATATATCCCATCTCAATGACATATGTATTGCAAGCAACTTTGAATAACAAGGCATAAAATAGGGGGGGGGGGGGAAACAAAAAGAAAAAGAAAAAGTTAATCGGCATATATCCCATCTCATGACATATGTATTGCACGAACTTTGAATCAAAAAGGCATAATATGAGTAGTCTTAGTATCATAACTGGAAAGGCAAGATTTGGAGTTCACCCTAAAAATTTTCAACAAGTCCGTCGACATATGCCTCACCGCCGGCGAGCAATTACTCTGCATCAGCAGCAAAATCTTCGCCAGACCGTTGCTCTTAGTCACTGCCTCCCTTGCCTTCCCATCCCTGAACAAACAACACACGCTCCATAGAATTGTCACCGCGTGCTCTGTTGCCTGGACTGATACTTTCAACACCTTCTGTACCACTGCTTCTATGCACGCCATGTCACTGCACATCTCCTCTCTCCCTTCTTTGCAGGACGACACCGTTTCTAGCAGGTTCAATGCCTTCTCGGTGATTGTGTTTGAAACTCCGGTGTTGGATTCTGCAGTTAATATGTTTCTCAGTTCAGGAATTGTTTTGAGATGGACTAGCTTTACTTTAACGCGTTTCGATTTTGAAATCGCGTTTAGACATGACAAGCTCGCTTCGATCAGGCTTGGATCGGTTTCTAAACCGATCAATTTTACTAATTCGGATAATAAACCATCCTTTTCAGCAATTAAAAGCTTTGATTCTGCATCTATGGCGATTGATTCTAGAATTCTCACCGATCCAATTCTCGAGTGCGCGCTTCTTCCTCGTTGTAGAACGAGAAGGAGCGAAGATAAGGAATCGACATTGTTGTTCTTCAAGAGCAATGTCATTAACTGTTGATGGTTGACGATTTTTATTAAGATCAAATCCAGAAGCCTAACTATTTGCTCAATGAAGTCAATATTTCTCATATCGCCAAGAAAACCAACAAGCATTGACACGAATCCTTCCAATTTGGCTAGAAATTCCCGATTCTCCTCTGATTCTTCAGCGAAACACAAAATTTTTGAAAAAGCATCGGAACAACAGCGATCCCGTTCTTTTTTCGTTTCAATGTCTTTGACTATGCTCTTGATTTCGTCTTGTGATGGAAGTGAGTTAGCTGATGAGTCAACTCGGTGACTGTGCTGCTGCTGTACCGAGTCAGACCAGATCTGAATGAGGCGTTGTAAGGTGTGGTTGGGGACGAATTCTTTGCTCTGAAGCACTTGCATGGTGGCGGGGCAAGTGTTGTTCCCATTGTCAAGCCACTTCTGGATACTAGCACGATCGTAGGTGACTCCGGTGCACAGGCTAACGGGTGATTTCATCACGTCAAGTGATATCGGACATCGGAAGAAACTAGGCACCGTTATGTACAAATCATCCCTCAACATTGTTTTGTTTGGCAAGAGAGAAAGCGAAAGAAAATTTGGCAAGAAATGTAGAGAAAGGAGAGAGGGAAAGGCGACAGAGAGAGAGAGGATGGAGATGGAGGAACAGAGAGGTGGGGTGTGTTTAAAGAGGAAAGAGAAAGAGTCAAAGGTATAATGACGTCACCATTTTACTTTCTTGCAAGGATTTTAATGTTTTTTTAGTAATATTCGTGTTTGGCTTTGGTCTTTGGTCAAAGGAAGGTTTGTTTGTTTAGTTGGGGAATCTCTTTCTATGTTTTTGCGTGCGTAGTTTGATCTGTAACTACTCAAATCCTAACCGTTGGATTACGAAATGAGTAGGATTTTCAATCTTGAGTGGAGATGAGAAGAGAGAAGGTACACGGATGGAGGAGGGCAGGTAGGGTCTACTGAAATAAATGCGTATGATGAGGAGGGGAACGTGGGGTGGTGGGGGCCCAGCGAGTAAATGAAGGATTTGTGTGGGCCCGCAAAAGGTTAGGTTTTGCAGCGTTTGTACGTTGAGTAGACCGAGAAGAAAAATGATTGTGTGGAAGGATCACTCTTTTGAACTTAATTAATTTCGTTCGTTCTCCTGAATTTACAATTATTACATATTAACATATTTTAATTTTAATTTACAACAGTAAATACATTAAATATTATTTTATATTATTAATAAAAAATTTTAAACTAAAAATTTTTACAAATTTTATCTAAGGGAGCGAAAATATCTTACAATAACTTTATCATACAATTATACATTCTGAAACTTTTTCTCATTCATGAAAGTATTTTTTTTTTTTTTTTAAAATCTCAAATCAATTGTAATTAATAGTCTAGTTCATATGGTAATCAATCTAAAATTAAAAATATTGGTTTATAAGAAATTAAAATTTTGTAAATAATAAATAAAAATACTTTATATGTAATTCATTTTTTCAAAATAAAACTTGCTAAGATTTTGTAATCATATATATTATCAAATCATGTAAAAATAAAATAAACAAGATTTATTCCTTAGACTAATATGAATAAAGAAAAGTAAAAACTCAGATAAATTTAATTTTACCCTTGTATAATGCAGAAAAATTAGAGAGAAAAATAATAATAAAATAATTTAATTTGTCTCATTTAAGAAGTATCAACCAAATATTTGAATATTCGTATTAGACTAATTACAGAAAGTAATTAAATAAATTATTATTTATACATTATTAAATTACACATGTTATAAAATTATAATATCCAGGAGATAAAAGTGTAATTATAATTGGATTTGTGAAAAAATAAAATAAAATAAAATGTGGAAGGTCAAAAATTTGAGAGAGACAGTGTTAGTGGACTCAAACTTTAATATAGCATAAATTAAAGTACTTCACGTCTAGGAGGGGCCACGGCCAGCTTAGTCCCCTCTGGTCATGACCACCGGGTGAATTCGAAGAATCAGTGAATCGAATCCAAAAACGGACCATTTGGTGAATTCTTTGCTAGTATTCGGACAATTTGAGTAGAATTTATAACCGAATTGAATTAATAAAATTTTTTTTTTTTTTTTTGACTCAATCGAATTTCACTGTATCATTTTAATTGAACTCATTTAGGTTATTAACCAAAAAAAGGAAAAATACAGACCTAATTGATGGATTGGATTTAACTGAAATTACTAGTTTCAGCAACATCTAAGACTAAACTTTTTTTTTCTATTGTTTTTTTAATAAAACAAAGTACTTTTTCTATGTCGGTTAATTTGAGTAATGCAGTTTGATTAATTATAAATCAAATATTTAATTAATTACCGAAAATCAAATGTTTTCAGCCAAACCATTAAACATGTTTTATTCATTGAATCGGATTGACAAAATTAATTAATTTAACTTAATTAACACAACTGAATGCTCATCCCTAATAATAGGCAGGGGTGAGCAAACGGTAACTGAACCAAATTGAGGGCATAAAATACAAATTGAACTTTTTTATAGCAAACCGAATCAAACCGAAATTGGTATTTGTAACGAATTAATTCGAATTAAACCAGTCAGTTAGCTCTATTTTTGTCCATTTTTATCATTTCGGTTTGATTTTAAGCCTAATTGACTAGTTTCTATACAATGGATTGAAATCGAACAAGAAATTTGGTTCAAGCTGAGTGAATCGATTAACTGAACCTTTCTTGAAGACTAATTGAATCGAACTAAAACTGGTCGGTTTTGTTCAGTCGATAGTTTTGCGTACTGAGGGATGGAAGTGGGTGGGTACCCTAGAATTTTAAGCGATAATAATTTTACTCTGCCTGCATCCATTATAATTCGATTAATAGTGTACTCTGTCTGTATTCATTATAGATAATAATTTTACTATTTATACCTGTTCCAAACTCATTTATAATTAATAATATCATCTTTAATCAGATTGAAGCAGATGGATACTATAAAATACTAATAGCATCCCTATGCACACCCCTAATAACAGGTGAGTAAAATAACGAGATTTATTCAATTGTTTAATTTTAGAGACTAAATAATATATTTTTAAAAATAGCAAGTGATTAATGTCTACGTAAATTGCATGGGATAATAATAATTTTATTCTAAAAAAAATCTTTCTTAGATAAATTTTACTTTTTTATTCATGTTGTTTCTATAATAATTTAATCGTGAAGTGTAAATTTTATTTTGAATAGAAATGACAAATTGAAATAAGTAGAAATTTATTCATTTTAAACAGTCTGAAATTTTAAACAAATCTTGAATATTTAGATTCGGATTGCCCTCAAAATTAAGAATCGAATTGAAAATCAATTCTTTAATTAATATTTCATTTCACTTAATCCATTGGGTTTGGTTCAATATGATTCCAATTTGATTTGATTTAAATTAATGAGAAATTAATATTTAAAGAACTAATAAGAAATAAGTAAAATTAACATTAAAATTATAAATTAAAATTTTTTTTAGAAAAAAAAATCAATTGTTTGAAATTGATAATTTGACTCAAATAATATGAATACTTTTTGTAATTTAATTAGATAGAAATTTCCAACCTACCCATGAGTTACGACATTGTGAAATGATTTACTTTTTCGTTTTGAGAAAAACGAAATGATTTGATTTGAACTCACGTGAAGACAATCAAAATAATTCAAATAAGCGAACGGGAGGCGTCAAATTTGAGAACTTTAAATTATAATGATATGTTTGAAAAAAGAGAAAGTAAAATAAAAGTTTAAAATGACATTATTTATATTCCTCTCAAAATAGCGTGAAATTGAAATTGAATAATTTCATTCAATATAAATAAAAAATTTTGATAATCTCAAGAAATTTTCATCTGATAGTTTACATCTACTCATATTTAAAGCATAAGAAATTTCATTATTTTTGTAAATAAATGAGAGGATTATCTTGATTGTGTAATACACAATTTCATAAAAGTTTTTCGACTGATCGACTCTTCTAGAATATAAAAAAAACTAATTAAATAAGGAAAATATATGATGGTTATAAAAAATATTTTGTAAATATAGACATTATCATAAATGAACAGATAAGATTTAAGCATTGGATTAAAGTTAACCAGGAGAGGAGACAGGAAATGAGTAATTGAGGGGTCATAGATTCTTATCGACGTACGTGCGCAGTAATCATATCCCACGGTAAAACACATCATTGCTATGCCAATACCACCGAAAGCGTCGCCCTAGCCGCTCATTATTACATTTTTCTTTTTTTTGTCTCCACAATTTCTTTTTATATATATATATATAAATTTATTGATTATTCCCTCGTTTATTTTTATTTTATAACCTTTTTCGAAAATTATGTATCCCAGAATTATTTATTGAATTATGTATCCCAGAATTATTTATTGCTTATTAAAAAAAAAAAAAATCTCTCCGTCAGATAATTCTTGTCCACTTTTCTTTATCATCCGATTTAAATTATTATAATATTTTCATTTTTAAAAATAATAATATTTTTATTTTATTATTTTATCTTTATTTAATATAGTTCTCTATTAGCAAATATAATAATCATCTATCCAATTATTAATTAAATTTTAATATTCAAAATTAAAATCTTAACTTTCAATTTTTCAAGGTAATTCTATTAAATATTTGATTACAGTTTGATTAATTTTAAATATGTAATTAAACCTATGAAATGTATATTTTACATAAACTTTTTACAATATATACCGATCTATTTTCCATGACATTTTAACAACTTTTTATAAAATAATTATATAATTTATCTAATTAATATGAAATTATTATTTAATTACTGTACAATAAACTAATCTCATAATTTATAAAAAAAGTGAAAAAGTACTCTTTTTTTTTCTTTTTTTATTGGTGCTGGAATACGTCCAGTTTGTCATATATTTCAAACTTAATTGACAGAATCTAACACCATATGATAGACATTTCATAGGATACGTGATGTGTACACCAAATGGGAGATTATAGTGAGCAAGAAGCAACCACTAATTAATCTTTTTTTTAAAAAAAAAAAAAACCTCTCTTTTAATTATTTTTCTTCTAATTACATTGTAATAAATAATAATAATGCTAATTACATCCCAATAAGTGAAATTATGGATTTTTTTTTTTTTTACAATTATATATTGTAGATAAAATCTTTATACTCCTATTAATCAAAATAATTACAAATAAGCATACTTAAAGCCCAATCTAGTGGTAAGTACATTATGACTTGGCAATAGATGTAGGTTCAAATCCTCCTTCCTTGATACTTATAAAAAAAATTATAGATAAAATTTAAAAACATAATTTATGAAATTTTATTTTTGAAATTAATAAATAAGTATTCATGAAAGATTAATTTTTACATAATGTAAAACTTTAATTATAGGATTTGTTTCAACAATTAAAATGTGTGGCCATATTAGAATAGTGTACATATTTTTATTCGTGTTCAGATCTATAAAGTTGAGCACATTTCTACCAAATCGTTTATAAACGTAATAGTTATTCATACTTTAAAAACATAAGATTATTAATTGTCAAACTCACATTTTATCTGCCACTATACTCATTAATTGAGCCGAAATAAATGTAGTAACATAGGTTATTTAAGGACATTTTAAACTTTCTCTT